GGAAACTGAGTGGGAACAAACGCGTGATCTGCCTAAAGCCTTACCAGGCCTCGAGGTCTTTACCCGCCAGTAGACATTGACAACCCGGTAACTTACGAGTTTCTAGAAATTTCGTTTTCAGAGGTCTCTCACGCGAAACGTGCGAGGGGACCCAAGCAGGTCAACTGTTAGCCGTATCACCCCTACCTATTAGACAGAAAGTGCTTTCATAGTCTGTCCTCAATGAGATGCCGCTTAGAATTGATTTTTTTTTTGGTCTGTTGTACCCCAACGACGGTGTCCAAAGAAAGGCGTGATTTTGTATACTGCACTACGATCCTGTAACAGTACGATAGACAACGCGTTTCACGGCGTTTGGGATCTTTTCGCCTCGTATAGTAATACGCGAAACGCTAAGAATGAGAGTTAGACCGATCTCAAACGATGGCTCATTCAGCATCATTTTCAATGATTTTGCGTCATCAATCTATCCTATCTTCTTGCAAATAACTCAACTGAATATCAAATTTCTGTTCTAAACGCTCTGCAATGGGTTATCAAGCACAAATTTTATTATCAGACATCCCATGATATTGCTACTTGGCGCAGGCAGGGCGCACGAATTCTCCTACTGCGCCAGCTTCTGGTTAGTAGCACCGTAACTAGAACTCACTTACGAATTTGAGTTTTTGGCCATTCTTCCGAAGGTATAGACGCCCGGATGTCTCCGACCCGATCCCGGAGTCCTTGGATCAAGGCGGGTCGCTACCTGGGGTGTCTGGATTAACGTGCCAGAGATCTTCTTCAGCCTCCGGTAAATACGTCGGTGGGTGCCAGTGATGTCTCGGTTCCTGCGGGGTAATGACAGCGGTGGCTGGTCCCGAGTTTGACATTCTGAGCGGGCGCTGAACGTCAAACAAGCGCTTACACGTTTTAAGCATCTCAAACGATCCGCGAAACAGTTCAAAATCCAGCACTAAATTTTTCATGATGAAATTATAAAATTCTCGATGAAGACCTCGCTGGCTGACCTGAACAGAGCTCTCAGTACTTTTTTTGCCTTTTGTAGCGGTTTCTTCGTCTAAAGGGCAAATGCCATGTCTGTTTTCAGCGTCGGCAGGCAAATTAGTAGACGTCAAACAACGACGGACGGCAACACCATAATTTGTTTTTACCGAAACTACCGATGAGGGCGATCGTAGTGACTGGCCTGCAATGCCCAAAACACAGTTCGGTCGACGGTGTTCCAAACTAGATCTAGGTTCATTTCAAACTCCGATATCGAGGAAGTAACCTAAGATTTTTGCCGGCGGAAAGTTATCCAATTATTCGCTGGAACGAGGAAGGACAAATTTCAAAATGGCTTCATCTGTACCGGGGTCTGTTTCGAGGTTATATGAATCATTTAAAACCCTGGGTAATCCCCTCTCTCCCTCCCAACTTTCCCGTTATGCCTAGTTCTCCTATTCAGCCCGCAAGAGAGATCGAAGCCTCGGCCTCAAATCTTCCAAGCCTCATCGGGCCGTCTACGCCGACAGAGCTGACAGAAGCAATATATGACGATTCTTCGGAGGAGGATGAAGACGAACCTCTGGAAGAAATAATGGCCAGTGGACCAATTTCTGCGGATGTTGATGACCTCCTACGTGAATTCGTTCATCCTCCGGAACAGGAAGAGGAGACAATTCATGTAAGTGAAGAGGCTCAATCAGGCGATCCGGAGGAAGAAGAGAGGGAGTCACGTCCGTGGTGGCGAAGGCCTTCACCATTGTGGTAAGCATGTCGAGATCCAACATTCTGTGTTGCGCCGGAAAGCTAACCGCACTTGTAGGATAATCTTTTTATTACCATTCACAGGGGTGGCTCACGCAGCGACAAAAGCTCCTAGAGTAGAAGTCTACACCACGTTGATCTGTCGTGAAAACAGGCCAGATATCTTCCCTCAGGGCGGCTTTCCGTTTAGCGGAATCGACAAAGCTTGCTACTCTGATCCAGTTGTATCTGCAGAGGTGGCAAGGCTAGTAGCAAGTACGCCGCTTCAATTTAAGACCTTTTTCTTTCTTGCTGATTGACACCTCCTTGGCAGTAATGACAACAATCGCCGGTGTGCTGAGTTGTTTGACCACCGCGTGGTGGGGCGCAGTACGTCGTTCGACAGCCATTCTATTCTGCCCTCGATGCAAACTAGATTTCTCCCAGTTTTCAGATCGAAACGGTCGCATCCGAACTTTGGGTATCTCACTGACGGAGCAACTAGTGACAGACGCGGTACATATTCTGGTCTATTACAAGTCTGAGTGGCTTCCCGGTGGATACTGGTTCTTACTGGTCGGGGCTGTAATTGAGGGAATACTAGGAGGTATTTGCAACGTTTATCCGATAGCTTTCCTTTCTGACTCGCCAACTTAGCAAACATGACTGCTGGCGCAGCGAAGCACGCTTATTTTGCAGATACAACCACCCCGGCAAGTCGGTGAGTCCATGGGGAGTTCGCTATTCGTTGAAGCAGCATTGACCCCTTGGTTTAGCTCGCGAATGTTCTCGATCAGCACGGGTATTATGTACATTGGTAGTGCTTTAGGGCCCGCAATGGGAGGTCTTATCACGCGGTACACCCAAAATCTCATATCCGTTTTCTACGCTGCCCTCTTCGCACATATCATCTACGCGTGTATGGTCTGGTTTATAATTCCAGAATCACTCACGTCGAAGCAAATGTCTATTGCTGCCGAAAAACAACGCGAACGGGCTATTCGTCTTGCTTCCTCTAAAGGACTCAAGCCCCGTCTCAAAAGATGGTTCAAGTTTTTGAGCGACCTGAGCGTGTTTGGACCTGCATCTAGCTTTGGTTCCTCGCCGAAATCGCATCGTAGATGGAGCTTGACCTGTATGGCGATTTCCTATGCGCTGGTGATGTCTCTTGTCGTAAGTTCTTCTAGTATCTCTTTCTTCGGGTGCTTGACCGCTTCTTTCTAGGGTTCCGCCAATAACAAGGTCCAATATGCGTCCACGATGTTTGGATGGACTTCAGAAACAGTGAGTTTTGCTTACGAATACAATAAATTGAGCTAACATTTCTCTCAGATCGCATACTGGCTGAGCTTTACCGGCGCTATTCGTTCTGTTTTCCTTGCTATTGTTCTCCCTTGTGGGTGTTTTTTTTTTGACTTCCGCTGTTTAAGTCGATACCAATTATCTTTTCTCAGTACTTGTCAAGTGCTTGAAGAAGAAGCCAAAGACTCGAAGGGCCAGACCACCCAGGTCGGATGAGGAACAACCTTTGATCGATGGATCCCAATCCAAAGTTTATGGTCCAAGTCCACGTCCTCCTCTCCCATCGAAGTTGAAAGAAGCTCAAACTAGTCGGCTCGACTTGAGGTTAGCGAGAATCTCACTTGGACTGATGATCATTTCATACGTTGGACTGTGTCTTGACGTCACCTCCTTCTCTTTCATCATTTACACCATGATAGAGGCACTCGGAGCCGGCTACGGTCCAGCAATCCAAAGCGTCGCTTTGTCTCTATATGGAAGGAAGTCTGATGGTGAAACCGGAAGATTTTTCAGCGCGCTGTCTATTCTCCAGGCACTGTGGTACGTCGCTACTCAACGACCTCTTTATTTTTTCTTATGTTGACCTCTATTCAGCTCCCAAATTCTAGGACCCCTGACTTATGGAGTGGTTTATGCGGAAACAGTGGGGACATACCCCCAGATGATATTCTTGGTATCTGCGGCATGTCTTGGTCTTTCCTTCATCTCATTGGTACTTGTACGACTACCACGTATGGAGAAGGTGTTTTAAGAAGTCTTCTCGCGTGGAACGACTCGGTCTCGTTAATATGGTCAGATGACGACGTTTGCATCTGACCCGAAGGTTTATGAAAAGTTACGCACTTCACGGACACTTAATTATTCGAAATGTTCTTCTCTTCTGGGTCTCAGATTACACTATGTATCCCCCCCCTCCGATTTTCACTAGTTCTCGTACAGGCCACCCTCATGTTACACTGTGTAGATGTATATACCCCTCTCTCATGTGTCTCCAGATCCTTCATCCCGTTTTTTGCCCACGACCTTATATTATTAAAAATGGTGACTATTTCGTTAAAATTGGCAAAAGGAGCCAGAACTATTACCCTTCCCCTGACCAGAGAACCCGCGCGCGTCTACGGAGGAGGGCTGTAAGGTTCACCAATTCACTCGTATTCGGGCTTAAGTGCGAAGTCTTCATGTCTATCACTCACTCTACTTATTGTTGAAACCTCCATAATCTCAGGCGTTCTGCGCTGGGTTTCAAAGTCCTTTTTAACCAGAACTCAGTAACTTGCATTGGGGTACGTTACCTCAGGCTACTCTCTACCCGTATACTATTCCAAAACGGATCTCCACAGACCTCGATTCTTTTTTTTTTTTCTAATCGCTTTGTTTTTTGTCCCGAAAAACTGTCTCATAAAGGCCTTTGGATAGAACAGGCGAAACTTGGATATGGGGTGTTTATCGTTTCGTCAAAAGGTCGATAGAGCTGAGGGACCTGCCTGGCTTTTCGAGATAGTAGATGGGAAAAGAAGGGACAAAATTCTCAAGGTCGGGTACCGATATCAAATCCAGAGAGAAACGTCCGGAAGGCCAATCGGTAGCAATTATGTACAGCTGTGGTATGTGAGTTTTTTCCAAACATTCCTTCCTTCTTTACTTCTGGGCCCAGCAACCCGCCCCTACGTTGTAGTAAAAAACTTAAAATGGAAGGTGAGTGCAGAAGAGGTAAATTTTTATGCGCTGCTTTCTGATGCTGCTCCATAATGATACTGCAATGTCGGGATGTCAGGTCTGGAGGCTTAGTCGTGAGTCGCGCGGTAGACAGGCCACACGTCCAAGACACAGTTACATACCAGAGCCCGCCACAGCGGGAGGTAAGGATCCAACTCCTTTTCTTTACTGATATTGAGCAAGAGACTGATTACGAACGGATCGAATAGGGGGAGGGGGAGAAAAAATAAATGTATTTTGCTACAAAAAACAGTGCCCGCCGTGGGTCGAACACGGGGCTTCAAGATGGTGTGCAATATGGGATATTATTGCAATCTCACACTCTACCACTGAGTTACGGGCACATATTAATCAATCAGTGTATGGAGGCTAAGCCATCACGCATTCTCTTCGGTAGGTAGTTGCCGCGGTAAGGATCTTCTCCTCAGCTGCAGCGATCAAACCATGATTATTCGGTAAAAACAAACAACCTCTCTAGCGGCACGCGAGTTGCTGTAACCTCTGAATTCAATCGCATGTCCATTCAGCCAACTGATGCTGAGACTCGGGTATTACTATCGTCGACCTTGAGCGTTGAGTTCTTTGTTCAAGGATGCCCATTACCACCATCGCAGTGTCATACCCAGCTGCGCTTACACAACCGATGGAATGACTGTATCTTAACCCACACCCCGTTTTACTGCCCATGAATGCGGAAAACCGTATCGCAATTCGGTAATAAAGGGCGTGTATAGGGGAACCTGGGAACCCTTGTATTTTTTTTCCCGGCATTACATATTCGGCGGAGGTAATTTCATTGCCGACATAGATGCCGTTGTTTTGACATATGTACGCGTTCCACAAACACGTGTCTCACGGGATTTCTACCGTAAGTGGTTCAACTTTTTTTTTTACAGCAATTTCATCATCACCTTCTTTCCTTCCTTTCCCTTTCTCCCTCCCTAATGACGACGACATACTCTGCATTCTTCTCTTCTGGTCTTCGCGCTCGTCCAACCTCGACGAGTTCCTCTTCTCGTCCTCGTGGAGACTCAACGTCTACAATGACCTCGACCTCTAGTTCAGACACGATCGACGATGCCAGCGACGTCGAAGATGCTGTATCCCTGTTTTCCAGCAACCACGGTAGTGCTAGTATTCACGCTCACCCCCACGACGATACCAGAAACCGCAAAACAAGCTCCACCTCCAGGTCGGGTCAGCCGCATACGGTCAGAAAACGAAAATCTAGTGTGTCCTTGGGCGTTACCACGTCTCCCGTCGCGCATTTGAGATCGCCTGCGAGAGCTGTAGAGAATGCGTTGTCGTTTCAGAGGCATGTAAACTATGTTCAGGGTACACCTTCCAAATCACGGTCGAGAAGTGGGAGTACGAGTGGAAATTATAATGCAAGTGGAGGTGCAGGGTTCATTGGGGAAGTTGCTAGTATGGGAACGAGTTTGATTGGAAGGATGAGGAGTGCTAGTGTTGGGGCGGTTCTTAAGTGAGTCTCTTGTCAGATTTTGCTTCATTGACTGATCCTTGGACTCCTCATGCAGGCCACGCCGTACCGTCCGTCGGATCCCGAACAACCCTCTACCACCCCCAAGCGTCCCATTACCTCCTTTACCGCCATTGCCACCCAAAACCCCTCAACGAATCCACGGTCGCTCGTTCTCCTTAGCTCCTAACGGGAACGCACCGTCCAGAGGTGGTTTTCATGGGCAAGGAACTGCGTTACCACCCGTTCCTGCTACACCTCCTGATATGATGGTGGATTCACCTCGTACTCCGTTGGGAGATATTCAACATACCTATCGCCATTCCAGGATGGAGGAGGATTGATTGACTGATTAATTTTTGGTAAATGAATTCGCGCGATGATTACGCTGCGCACATGAACAGGTACCCTGGAACTGCCAAAATGTTTGAAAGCTTGATGCCATTATACCCTTTTTTGCCCTAATGACCTTGATTTTATCTTTCTTTTTCTTGGCTCGACGCCCACTGTTAGTGCTCCCGTTATCCCATCCCATTGCCAGGTCCTACCTTATGTTCCCTTCTATTTTCTCTCTCAATTTTCTTGTCTTGCTCTCTCACGTTCATGTTCCTCTCTCGTCACAAATATGTATCCTAACCAATTCGCTATCGCTCTATTTCCGACATGTATACATCTCTCACATACGCCTCTTATCTCATCTCATCTCATCTCAACCCATCACTATCACTCACTCAAACAATAATGTATATTTGTTTCGTTGTTCATTTTGTCTGGGACATACTTTTACGCACGTAGTCGGTATATATCTATCCGCAATCATAGTCTGGATACTTGAAGGCGGGAGTTGTGCGAAGTGCTGTCCCAACGCTAACAATCATGGTCAGCGGCCTCGGGATTGCCTCCCCGCCCCCCACCCCCTCTCCCTCAAAAAGTTTGAGTCTGGGTTATGATACGTTACTTGGATGTTTATCTCCCCCGTTCACGTACCCGTGCTGGGTATTGAACTATTTGGCCGCCGTATTGTATGTAATGAACGTTTTAAACGTATTGAACGTATAAGCGCCTAATAAGCGCCCATTGCGGAAGCCGCAAATTCTTGGGTGGTTTCTGGAGTAAAAGCCACAAATTAACTATGTATAAAGGTAGTAGCATTTGTCTCAGCTTCAAAGTGTGAAATCCTTTTCTGTCCAAGACTTTCCCGGTTTCTGCAGCCTAGCTGTGGCACAAACTGTGGGAGAAAAATGTACATGTAACACACGGCGGAGTTGGGCTCTCCGCACTGTCCTTCCAGTAGGCAGCCCACTTCATACTTTCCTCGCTCTTCCGACCATCTCGGAATGTATAGGCCAAAAATTTCCTTTCATCACTTTGTCGTATTTCACTATGAAATTGGTTTTTCCTGGGCAGTAAATAGGCTCGCTGCAGGCTCATACAGCTTTTTATATTCACGTTGAGCTATCGGTATTACACAAGCAGGAGTGTCGATGCGTCGCCAGAAGAAAAATTGTCGAAAAAGAAAAAGTTGGTTACTCCACATGGAAGTAATTCAACAAATGCTTTTGCTTTTTTCTTTTTTCGATGAGCAGGTGTATAAGGTATGTTCCATCCTTGAACTTTTTCGGAAAAGCATCACTTGTTTATCATAATTATGGCTTTGACCGGATTTCGTGAGCTCCGGAATCCGCGTTCGGGACGGACGTTAATTTACTCCGATTCTGGAATACGTAGCCTCTTTCCTGGTCGATGCCTTGTGGTCCAATAGGATACGTGCATCACACTGTACGAATCAAATCCCCGACATATGGTCGTACTTAAACTCGGACCGAACTTAACGACGGGGGGTTTTTTTGCAGAGGTAATCCGCGGAGCTTTTACACTTCAGACGATGTCATAGTAACTGACGACCTCCGGAACTCTTATATCTCCAGGATATGTGTGAGAACTAGATCGGCGCGAGACGAGGTGATTCTCCGAAAGTCGGAGTTAGGACTGAGATGAGTAGAGGTTGATAGCTTTCTATTGGAGGTAAGAGAGTTGATTGTACTAAGGGTTAGATTATTACATGAGGGTTTAAATAGTGAAGACCGTAGTAACTAATGTGATATTGAATAGACTAAGTGAGATGCGTAGTAAGGCTTTTGAAGGGATCGGCAGTCTCCCGGCAGTAATCTCGGAAATGATCCCGGCAATGGCCGGATCATGACACTATGAACCGTAAATCATATTTTCTCAATGATTTTTCTACATTTCATAAGCGGGATTAATTAATTGGATGTAGATCGCAAACTTCTGTCCGCGACGCGTAAGGCCATGATCCGGCCAATGGCATCTTGGCACACGGATCCCTTCACCAAAGTCTTTCGAATGATCTCTTGCAATAACTAACCGGACAGAATTGAGTTAGCCCTTCAGAAAAGCGGAAAATCCTGTCATTTTTTGCGTAGATCTGAACCTGATACGCCTCAATAAACAGTTTGCATTTGAGCTTGATCGAGCACCTAGCGGAGTTGGAAGGTGAGTCGGAATCAGTTGGAAGGTAAGAATTGATATTGATTCCGAATTCTCACCTTCCGTGAAAGCATAGTTTCTCGAAAGCCTACCTTTCTCAGACTCTCATCGGCGACACTGCGTTACTCGAGGACCCGCCCCCTACGAAGATTCTAGATTATTCTGATATAGATGCCGAGTAGTCTCTATAGCGTGAAGTATGAATTCAGAGAGGAACATAAGATCCGAAACGCTTTTTGAAACAATGTTTAAACATCCGCATGGCCATTATCCCAATGTTTATCCTGTCACTACGGCTACCGTTTCGGATGTGTTAACCATCTTTACGGACTTGTTCTCTCTGTGTGTAAAGTTCACTATCCATGTCGATGAGCTACAATTCTCATTGCCAATTCAACGACAAGAGCGAGAATATAAGGCGATCCACACCCCCAGAATCGTTATCCCAGGTCTCAATCGGCTTTAGCGTTGGCGTTGCACTGTACTCCTTCTTCACCTACACCACATCCATCACCCTACAACATGTCGACCTATGAACCAGCCGATCCCGTAGCCAAGGGTATCCTGCCAACCGCAAGACAAGCATTTGGAGACTTATTCAAGTGGAAGCGCCGTGTCGAGATCACCGATGAACATGGCCAAGTTCGAACTGAATGGCAGCCACTCGATCCTGTCCAGAATCCTTTCAGCCTCTGTGCGTTACTCACCTTCAAAGATTGGCTCTTCTTCTTTGCCGGTTTCTCTGCATGGACAGCCGACGCTTTCGACTTTCACTCCCTGTCTATCCAAACGGTTAAATTTGCCCAGTACTACGGCACCACCAAGACCAATATCACGACCGCCATCACGCTCACACTTCTCCTTCGTTCGGTCGGTGCTGCCCTTTTCGGTTTTGCCGGGGACAAGTACGGAAGGAAATGGCCTATGGTGCTCAATATGATCATTCTTGGCGTTTTACAGATCTGTACGATCTACTGTGTTACCTTTGAACAGTTCCTGGCCGTTCGTAGTATGTTTGGGTTGTTCATGGGAGGCGTGTATGGAAACGCGATGTCTATGGCACTCGAAAACTGCCCGTAAGCTCCCCCCCTGATTCCTTAGTTGGAGAGTGTCGTTAACATTTTTTTATCTCAAAGCGGACCTGCGAGAGGTTTGATGAGTGGCATTCTCCAGCAAGGATATTCGTTTGGATACGTTCTTGCCGCATGTGCCAATCTCGCAGTCGGAGGAGAAGCAGACAGTTGGAAAACCGTTTTTTGGGCCGGAGCTGGCCTTAGTATCGGAGTTGGCCTCCTTCGCTGCTGCTTCCCAGAATCTCAACAGTTCATCGCGGCCAAAAAGTCGGGCGAGAATGTC